AATGTTTCATGAAGAAGACATGAAAAATATAAGTCAAGACCAGCAAAGGGAAAAACTATACTAAATGAAGAAAAAAATCAAAGGAGAAACCAACTCAACTTAAAAACAAATAATAAACCAAAATGACTGGAAATGCAAATCATGTCTCAAGGATAATTTGAATGTAAATGAGCTAAAATCATCACTTACATGAGTCTCATACGTAAGTAAGCGGGGGGGGGCATCCTCAATCCTCATACCAGATAAAATGGACTTCAAGCCAAAGTTCATTCAGAAAGGACACAGAAGGACATTTCAGATGGTTGAGAAAAATTAGAGATCAACAAAACATAAATATTGAACATTTATGCCCAAACAATGGAGCGTCTGCATACATCAAACAAACCCTTCTCCACTTCAACAATGATATCCGTCACAACAGAATAATACTGGGTCACTTTCACACACCGCTCTCCTGATGCTCAGATCCGCCAAACAACTCAACAAAGAATATAGAGAACTACATGATCCAATCATTCACTTGGACGTAACAGACATACAGAGCATTTTATGCATCAATGATGGAATGCACTTTCTTCTCAGCAGCACAGATGCTTCTCTAAAAGGGACCATATCTTAGGCCACAAAGCAACTCTTAGTAAACACCAAACCATAGGGATAATACCTTGCATCCTATCAGATCCCAGTGGAATAAATTTAGAAATAAACAATAAAGGGCTGGGGTTGGGGCTCAGCTGTAGAGCGCTCGCCTAGCATGTGTGAGGCCCTGGGTTCGATTCTCAGCACCACATATAAATAAATAAATGTATTGTTTCCAGCTACTACTAAAAACTATTTTTAAAGAAAAAAGAAATTAACAATAAAATAAAAATTGAAAATACTCTCACACTTAGAGTCTAAAAAACATACTATGGAATGACCAATGGATATCAGAAATGAATTAAAAAATTCTTAGGGGTACATGAGAATATTGACACAACATATCCACCTCTCTTGGACACTATGCAGGCATTTCTAAGAGGAAAGTTTATTGCTCCTTTATCCAAAGAATAGAAATCACCCAGTGAATAACCTAACATTACATTTCAAAGGCTTGTAGTCCTGAATTTCCATTTTATACCAAATCTCATAAATCTTTATATAATTCTGTATAAATTGCTTATGAAGAAAACAGATTTTTATTGTTCCTTTCATGGAAAAAAAAGCATGCCTTTAATTTCTCCAATCATGAGGATGAGGGTTGATCACTCAGGTCCCCAGCAGGGAGGAGTCAGGCTCAGACTCTGCCTGAGCATCACATACATTCGGCTTCCCTTCCATCGGACATCAATCCCAGCCTCCAGATCTGGCTCTGTTTCTCTGTTTTGTTCCATGTGCACTTTCATGGGATGCACAGAAATTTTCAGGATGGAAATCACGAAGTACCTGGGCAGTAACATGAAGAAACCAGGTGATCCACACAAGAATGGAGTGAGAAAGAGGGGGCCCATCAGACACTGCAGTGAGGGGAATTTCTGAGCCACAGGGGAAACCAAGACTCTCTCTATCCTCAGAATCCAGGCATCATAACCTGTGGAATGGCTGTGGGCTCATTTGAACTTTGGATCCAGTGGAGAAAAGTTGTGTCAGCACAAACTATTTTTTGTCAAGGGAACTTAAGAGAAAATTGGAGAACCCGTCTCCCCAGATGGTTATTATCCAGAATAGGATCCAATCAATGTGCAAGTGAAATGTTCCTCTGGGGACTCCACAGTCCTGTGCTCCCCAGAGGGATCCTGTCACCTTACTAAGGATGCTAAAATGACAGGCTGCAGAGAGATGAGCTCACAACACCCCTTTCCTTAAAATTAGGCAGGCTATTCTCAGGTGCACCAAGTGCCTGGCGTCCATCCATCAAGGTAGGTGCCTCTCAGCTGCACAGATGAAGGGAGTAGGTGCATGGGCTTCTGGGAGGATAAGGGAAGGGGGCAAATTGGGTCTCTTAGTGCAGTTTCTGGTTGCTTGAGAAGAGACATCCAGCTCTAACCACTATACTCCACCAGACAATAGTCCTCTGTAAAATGCACTGAAAGAAGCCTTCCTATGCTATGTCCTCTGTTACATTTGAGAGGGAAAATGGCTACAAGCATTTATTTTTAGATTTTCTTAAAATCTTTCTGGTCCTAAATTTAATTAAATTGAAAATCAATGGTGCCCTGTCCAAAGCATATGTTCTGCACATTATCAAATTTCAAGGGACAAGGCTGTGACCCTGACGTCCCTTTCACATGAAATATTAAAAAGATAAGTGAACTTGATGGTGAACACCTTTCCTTGCTCCAAAAGACCCTGGAATGTAATTTGCAACAATTTTGTTGGAAGAATATTTATGGCCATTCATATTTTCTCTTTTCATTATTCATTTACATTATTCTTCTTCCCAATTCCCTTATATTGAATGTATCTGAAGAGAATCTAATAAATACTATTAGAAAGAAGACTTGGAGATGTTGGAGCTCATCCTGTGCAGGTATGAATGCTCAGGTTTTGATTTTTTTTAAATACATCTTTTCATGCAAATGCATTTACAGAGAAAATGTGAGCTAATCTAATTTTCTTCTTCCTTAAGCATCTTGGACTTGACTCATGTCATGAGTCGGTTAATCATGGAGACCTTCTCCTGCAGGTACGTGTTGGTCTCTCAGTAATGACAGTTCAGTGTCCTGATGAAGCTCCTTTGGAGTTCCTGGTTGATGTTAGAAAAGTAATTTTTTCTTCTTAGGTTGCTCAAGACAGACTTGAAAAATACTGTTAGTGTCTTACTGCCATTGGGAACTCTGACCTGTCCTTTAATCCTTCCAATTAACAGAAACAATGGATTATTTTCTGGCAGGTTTTTCAGGAGTAGTTCTCATTCATGTACCCAAGTCTTCTCCAGGTTTTTCTATTCCACATCCATGAAGCTTGTGTATTTCTCAGAGGCTCTGCCCACAGCAGGTCACCTGGTGGGTGATATCTGTGCCCTCCCTGATGTGCAAGCTGTTTCTCCCTAGTGCTCTCCATAATTTCCAAGATAGAAGTGTGGCACAAATTAGAGTTTGCTGCCCAATTCCCCCTCAGTCCCAAACCCAAATAAAGCAGGACCAGTACCCCTCCCCGATCTCATTTGTCCCTCTTTACCTTAGTATCCAGAAGGCCATTGGGGAGGGTTTACTAGAGGGCCATGAGGAACCAAGGTATGCTCCTTTGAAACTATTATTATTATTATTATTATTATTATTATTATTATTATATCAGGGATTGAGCCTAGAGATGCTTAAACTCTGATCTACATTCTCAGCCCTTCTTATATTTTATTAAGAGGCAGGTTCTTGCTCAGTTGCATAGGGACTCACTGAGTTGCTGAGGCTGCCTTGAATTCAGGACCCTTCTGTCCGAGCCTCATGAGCTGGTGGGGATTCCTTAGTATCCACTGTTCACAGGTATAAGCTCATGAGCTGCTTTAACCTTAAGACTTTGCTTTTCAGGTGATATTGTGGTTCCAAATGTGAAAACACACATTAAATCTCAGTCATTACATATGGGAGAAGCTTGGATGAAAGTAAATACGTTGTCCAGGAAAATACTGTGCCAGTAAGTCAATACAAATATTCTAGAATATGGGGTGGGGTGGGGCTCAGTGGTAGAGAACTTACCTGCCAGGTGTGGGGTCATGTGCTTGATCCTCAGCATTGCAAGAAAAAAAATCCAGTATCAATTTTATACATGGACCTCTTGAGTCCAGAGAAATGCCCGTGCTCTCTGGAAGTAAGGAGGAAAACCTGGACTCTGAAGGCCCAGACGTCCAGGTTAGGTTGGATCCTTATTCTTAATTATTACCTTAAAATGCAGTGAACCTGAAACTGTGTGAATTATGGTTCTGTGGACCACAGAGATTCCACATATTGAACTAGAAAAAAAATATCCAAGTGTGTTCTTGCTTAATATTTAATAACTGGACTTGGCTCACATAGGCAAACTTCTGATAAGAAAAATATTAAAATCATGCAGGTGTATAGTGGGATTCAAATAGTCCTAAAATTCCATCACCTGTCTCTGGACCAAGATTGCCAACAGACTCAGACATTCTGGAGATTTTTCAGCCTCTCTGAGTGGGTGATAGAGGTGATCCATTATTAAGAGAACTCTGTGAAGTCGACCGAGTGACATGGGTGAGGGTCCATTTTAAAAAACAGAGCCATTCCACAGAGACCACTGGTGGCAGGAAGCCCTCCCGGATTTGCACACTTGTAGCCATTCAATCTCCAGGATTCACACAATGAGTCTGGCTGCCGTTCACAGGTGACATGAGCTCAGGCTCCTGGGCTTCTCAAGGTCGGATACTCACCCATTCAAGGGCAGATCTTATTGACCCTTGCAAGCCATCTGACTTCAGAGTGTGCGATTCTTGGTATTTTCTGGGAGGATGTGCTAAGAAAATCACCTTGTTCCTAAACCAACCAGAATGAAGGCAACAGAAAGCTAACGTGAATTTGGGTCGTACAAGAGACTGACTCTCTTTGCTTTGGAGGGTCTTCTTTCCAATGCAACATATATGACTTTAATTTACCAAATATTGTACAGTTTATTGTACATGCCATGTTCCTGGATGAGGATGGATGAAAAGAGAACAAGAAAATCTCCCTTGCAATAAGATATCCCCATGAAAAACTCAAGATAATCACGGGGAACAATTTCTAGGATATATGGTCATTTTTTTAATGTCAAAAAGAAAGTTTTGTAATTTGCATCAAATTGAATCCAGGCATGATTGGACAATGAAGGGAAGAGAGAAGAGAAGGAATGGCTTCCAGAGGCTGCTATGGAAATTTGCATATTGGAGGGAGAAAGGGACATTTGGGACTCCAGAAATTTTCCTCGTAGCAACAGTGTTTACTGAGATGGATGAATTTTAACAATTATGATAATGAATTTCTTCCTTTTCTCCTAAGGCATGTGCTCCATGAGCCTTGCCCCCAAAGATGGGAAAACACCCCGAGCTGAATGGTGTTGCTAACCTAAGAAGCACCTTTTACTCTGAAGTGGGAATTGGGATCGTGGCCAAAACCCTCCTCTTTCTGTTCCGTGTCATCAAGTTCCTCTGTGACAAGAGGCTCAAGAGCACGGACTGGATCATTGGTCTCTTGGCCCTGACCCACCTACTGATGCTGCTCACCATGGGGTTCCTAGCTGCAGATACTTTGTCACCTCAACAGGGGCTTTGGGGTGACATCAGATGCAAATCAGTCACCAACTGGTACAGGTTGATGAGGGGCCTGTCCATTTCTGCCACCTGCCTGCTGAGTGTCCTGCAGGCCATCACCTTCAACTCCAGAAGCTCCCCCTTGGCAAAGTTCAAGCTTAAGTCCCCACAGGACAGCCTGAGGTCCCTTCTCTTCCTGTGGGTCTTCTATACATCCTTCAGTGCCCACTTCTCCGTCTCTGTGGTCGATGACTTCAATGCGACATCACCCAATCTAATGTTCCTCAGTGACTCCTGCACTATGCTCCACAGGAGCCACTTCCTCAGGCATTTATTTACCATCCTGGGTGAATTTCAGGATGTCTGCCTTATAGGGCTCATGGCCCTCTCCAGGGGGTACATGGTGGTCCTCATGTGCAGGCATAAGAGGCAGTGTCAACACCTTCACAGCACCAATCCATCTCCAAAAGCCTCCCCAGAACAGGGCCACTAGGACCATCCTGCTGCTCCTGGGTTTCTTCATGCTCATGTACTGTTTGGATTGCATCATCTCCTCCTTAAGAACCATGCGGTAAACGACCCTGTTTGTCGCTGTATCCAGATGATGGTGGCCAACGGCTATGCTACTGTCAGTCCTTTGGTTTTCATCTGCACTGAAAAACAAAGTGTCACCCTTTGGAATGGCTTGTGACAGAAGAATCATCAATGCTTAATCACTGCATGATCATTCAGCCCCCTGCATGAGCCACCGCCCAGCTTTGTGCCAATGAACCGTGGAGAGGTTGGTGTGTGTGCTCTCTGTGTTGAAGGAATACAGGAAGTGGGGTATTTTATTTTTTTAAATTGTTTTAAAAAATTTATTTTTTAATTTTAGGTGGACACAATATCTGGATTTTATTTTTATGTGGTTTCAAACCCCAAGTTGACAGCCTTTGGGACAGGAGTCCCCCAGTCTTCTTGGGAGTTGGATTCTTAGCAATAGTAATTCTTCCAATCGATGGACCCAGGGGTGCAGGATCAGGAGAGCCAGCAGGTAGTTTTTAAATGTTCAAATTATTAATCGGGGAAATGCAAATCATTGTTCCCTGGTCCCCAGTTGAATAGTGAGTTAGTCACAAAAAGGCAAAATTAAATGCTGGTGAGAATGGGAAGGGAAAAAGCTCATTTATTGTGGGAAGGTAAATTAGTGCAGTAATAATAAAGATCAATTTGGAGTATTCTCAAGAAACATAAATAGATCCACCGAAGGATCCAGATATCCCACATCCAGAGGAAATAAATCTGCACCAGAGTGATTCTGCACGACTGCATTTTTCATATCACCATTGAAAACAGCTAAGAGTCCCTAAGCCCAGGTGCCCACCAACACACAGATGAATAAAGGGGGTCACCTCCCTACACCACAAGCATCAGTAGTACTTCTCATGAAATCTTTCTGGCCCCACATTTAATCTCACAGGTTCAAAATGCACAGTGCCATCCACAGTGTGCCATCCATAGTCTGCCCACCAGCAAATCCCAAGTGAGAGGGCAGTGGTCCTGGGTCACCTTCACATCAAAGGACAAGTGAGCCTGGTGGTTTGCTACCAAAGACCTGGAAATACAAGTTCCAACAGCTGGGCTGGAGGAATATAGGTGTCCATTCATTTGGTCTCTTTTTATTTGTCATTTAAAAATTCTCCTTTCCATTTTCCTAATAATGAATGGTCTGAGAGGCATTTTGTTAGGAAGACTATTTAGAGAAGTTGAGCTTCATCCCATTCAGGTCTATAGGCTCATGCTTATTTTTTTTAATGACATCTTTTCATGCAAATGCAGTTACAGAGAAAAAAATGTGCACCATGTTATGTTTTTCACCTTTAAGCAAATTGGACTTGACTCGTGTCTTTATTGAGTTCATCAGGGACACAGATTCTCCTGAAGGTATGCATTTCCCAGTCCTGACAGCTTTGTGGTAAAGATCCTTTGCAGTTTCTTGTTGTTAGAAGTGTAATTTTTTTCTACAGCTTCTGAACACACATTTTCAAATATTCTTAGGGTCTAGCCAGAAGTGTGAACCCTGAGCTGGACTTGAAATCTTCCAATTTACGGAAACAATGGATGATTATCAGCAAGATTTTTCAGGAATAGCTGTTATTTATTCACCCAAATTTCTCCAGGTTTTTTAATCCTCCATATTCCTGGAGCTTGTGGATCAGCGCCCACTTCTCCGTCTCTGCGTTCAAAAAGCTGTTATTTATTCACACAGAGCCTGTGCACACTGCTGAGCACCTGGTGGGTGGTGCTGTGCCCTCCTTGAGGTGCAAGCTATTTCTAGTGCTCTTCAGAGTTTCCCAGCTAGAACTGTGCCACAAAGTAGAGCTTGTTGCCTAATTTCTTCTAAGAACAAAGATTCATACAACAGGACCAATCTCACCTTCAGGATCTCTTTCTTTCATTTTTACCTTAGGATACAGAAGGTGATTGGAGCAGAGGCAAGTTTTAACATTGTCATTTTTAACTAAATGACAATGACACAGCAAAGTATTATTATTTTGTTACCAGGGATTGAATCCTGGGTGCTTAACCACTGAACCACATCCTCAGGGCTTTTTTGTCTTATTTAGAGAGAAGATTTTGCTAAAATTTTTAGGGCCTTTCTAAGTTGCTGAGGCTTGCCTTGCAGTTATGATCCTCTAGCCTCAGCCTCCCAAATGCTGCAATCACAAACACACATCCCCATACCTGGACAGGTTAGTTTTCCTATGATTTATGTCACTGTCTGTGGAAGGTCCAGTATTTTTGAGAATGTTTGCTTTCTCTACTTTATAAAATGTGATATTTTTTTTTGCTTTTGTAACTGTATGTTTTCCAAGTACCATTGCAGTGCTAAGAGCCATAGTTAAGGATCCTCCTTGATCACCCTTTTGTGAGAGAAGGGAGATTTCATCTTGTCCCTGAGGCTCTAGACTCCTGTTTGGTAGACAAGTGTGAGTGGCAGGGTCATGGCTGGGAGGTGACATGCCTGACAATTTCTTTTAGCTTGATTTTATTCAAGGCTCCTATTCACCAGAATGCTTTCTAATAAAAATGAGATATTAACCCAGACATAGCTACATACCTATCTTTAAAATACTAACATGTAATATTTCAGTGAGTAAGTTGCATGTATTCGATGGGTTTGTTGAACGGATACATTAGTGTGTGATAGAAAATTTGGAGAGAAGCTGGGTGTGGTGGTACATGCCTGAAATCCCAGCAGCATGGGAGGCTGAGGCAGGAGGATCATGATTTCAAAGCCAGTCTCAGCAATGCAGCAGGGCCCTAAGCAACTTAGCACGATCCTGTCTCTTAATTTAAAAAAGAGGGGACGGTGACTTAGAATGTGGTTCAGTGGACACACACCCCTGGGTACACATCCTCCACCAAAAAATGTTGGACCCAGCTGGATAACTCCATATGTGTGTCACCTGTTCTACATAGTTAGGTTTTGTAGTTACAAATGTCCTCTCACTCTTGTTTATGCTCTGGAGAAAGGTGACTCATTTTTCTTGCTGCTATTGTAGAATTTTACCTTCATAAAAATAGGACTTGTTGGGAGTGGCCCTTGCTCCAAAGACTAACATCCCCATCCCCAGAGAAGAGCGGTTCAATGGTGAGCCCTGCTGGCTCACATGATCCTTACCCACCAATCAGACTAGCCCTGCTGGCTCACATGATCCTTACCCACCAATCAGACTAGTCATGCTGACTCACATGATCCTTACCCACCAAAAAGAAAGCACCCCAAGCCAACTGTCAAAGCCTTCAACCATTAAACTGTCATAATTGTCAATCCACCCCCTGGCTCTATAAATATGCAGAGTTGTTCCTTAATAAACAGGCTTTTTCTCCAACAACAAGCATTGTTCTTTCTTTCAGGATTTACCAATCATTTTAAAGCAACAATGAACTGAGGTCTTAATTTCTGAATAACATTGAAAATTCATGTCTTCTTCTCATCCCTGATTTATCCAAAAATTTTATATTCCCATGACTACATTATTTGAAGTAACATGAATATAATTCCATCTGATGCATAGATTTACAGGTTATCGTAGCATGTGCTGTAAGAGTTTTACAAGGCTGTATTTGGGTACCTCAACTTTTAAATTGAATTAAATGCAATGAAAGAAAACTCTCCATTCTCCAATTATGGCATAAGAGATAGCAATTTCACAACAATTATTGTACATTTTCATGTTAAAATGTTATAAATAAATGTTTATATGTTGACTATAAATACACAGATACAACATTATTCTTTATAGCATCATTTGAATTAGTAATTCAAACAAGTATATACGAAAGGCTGTATGACATTTTATGTATAAAAGCAACTCAGTAGAGGGGAAGAGTTCTGAGCCTCCTTATTACTGAGAAATGATACAATTTGAGAAAATAAACAGGTTAATTACCATAATGTGATCATAAAATAATTTAAACAGGTATAGATTTTTAATAGTGTACTCCAGATTCAAGTCAAGATTTACTTCAATTAAAGGTTAAAATTTTAAAAATCCTGCATTTAAACTTTTAAGCAAATATCTACTTGAGTTCTGAATTCTTAAAGGTTTTACCCTATATTCTCAAATCTTTCACATGTCAGATTTCCTTAGCAATTTTTTTTCTTTTTCATACCTGGGACTGAACCCAGGGGCACTATGTGACTGAGCTATGTCCTCAGCTCTTTCATTAAAATTTTGAGACAGGGTCTCTCTAAGTTACTTTGGGTCACGTTAGTTGATGAGACTGGCCTCAAAATTGTGGTCTTCTTGATTCAGCCTCCTGAGTCACTGGGAATTTCTTAGCATCTTATCTTTCACATCTATATGCCCATGAACTAATTTAGCTTTAAGACTTTGCTTTTTAGATGATATTATGATTCAGTATGTACAAACACAAATTAAATCTTAACTAGTACATATATGAGAGGCTTGCATGAAAGTCAATGCATGTTTTCCAGAAAAATATTCTGACAGTAAGTTATTACAAATTTTTCTCAAACAGGGGTTGTGGATGTAGCTCAGTAGTAGAGAATTACCTAGCATGTATGGGGTCCGGGGCTTGAGATCCAGAATTGCAAAACAAAACCTTGAGGATCAATTTTATACGTAGACCTCTTGAGCTTGGAGAAATATCACTGCTTCTTGAAAGATGGAAGAAAAATCTGGACTTCAAGAAGACTCATATTTCAAGATTAGTTTGGATACTTATCCTTTAATTAAATCCTTATAGTGGAGTGTACCCAGATCCATTTTAATTTATGGTTTGGTTTATCATAAGAATTCCATAAATATAAATGGAAAACAATGAAAAACATGTGTGCTTTCTAATATTTTATAATAGAAGTTGTATGAATAGGCCAGATTATGACATGATAATCAAAATATATAAAATATGTAACTATATAGAAAAATTCAAATCTTCGTAAACTCCACCATTTTTTTTCCAAACAGAGATTTCCAGTGTACT